ATGAGTTTCTCCCAGTCCCTCCCAAGAGCTGATGCACATGTCCAGCTGCAGCAGAATGGAAGCAATGTTGTCCCCCTTCAGTGTTTTCAGTCCCAGCAGGAACAGACTTGGTATTCAGGCCAGGAGGATTTTGGGGTGCTGCCTGGCCCAGGCACTCTGGGGAAGGGCTCATTCCCAGGGAGGTTGATTCCTGTCTGTGGAGGGAAGTCAAGGCAAGGTAACAGTGACACAAACCTGATGCTCTTCAGGTCCTCCAGGCTGAGGTTATTGATGGTGGTGCCTTTGGTCTCGGCGAGGTGGACGGCCTTGCCAGCGGCGATGTGGGCTTGTCTGAACGGCATCTGCAGTGAGAAGCAGAGGTTGCATTCAGTGACCAGGCAACTGGGGTGCTTTTCAGTGAAAAAAAAATTGGATGTGCTGTCATTTTTGGGTGGCCTGTTTTCCCTTAAGGCAATCCGAATCCAGGTTTTCTGGGGTGGAAGAGGGGAGGCTTTAGGAGGTAACACTCCACCTGTAAATTACTATCAAGCCCCACCCTGGCAGCAGTTCCACTGCTTGGGATACATGTAAGGAATGCATTTCCAGCTTTTGTGTTTGTTGAGCCAGACTGCTCATGACCTGGAGACAGAACAGAAGGCCTTATCTCAGGGCCTCAATACGCAGCACTCTGCATCCAGAGAAATCACAGCTCCAAGTCTCTGATACTTACTCCTTTATGAACCAAGTAGAGAGCCAGGTCAGATGACAGGATCTCGGGGCTCAGTGCCTTCTCCATGTTCTCCTTGTTGATCTGCAGAAGGGAGGTGAGAGGGAGGTGTTATCATCAGCTCCACTTTGGGGACACATTGGCTGACAGTGGGGGCCACAGTGAGCAATATGGGCAAGGCAGCCAAGAGCCTTCATCTCAGGACCAGTCTGGAGCTCTGTTTCCTGTGTCACTCACAGAATGTGCACCATGACCATGTTCAGTAGTATAGACTGAACTGACCTGGAGGGTCGAAATCACTCCTGTGGCAACCTGGAGCACAGCATTCAGGGTGTCTACAACATCAAAGACGGCCTCCTTGTCCTCCTGTGTTAGAACAGGGATGGAAATGGCTGTAAGTCAATCTGATGGAGCCCAAGAGGCTGAGCAGCCCAGCCAGCAGAGATGTGTCATCCCAGAGGCTCCTGCCATGGCCAGTGTCACCTGCAGCACTGCAGTGCCTCAGCCCCTTTCCCAGCACCCTGCACCCAGGCAGGGGCTGTGCAGGGAAATGGAGTGACAGGACAGCTCAACAGTAGTGGACAACTGTGTCTGCTCAGAGATGGTGTGAAAACTAACAAGTGCTTTACCTGCAGGTCCTTGTTGTAAGTGCTGGGGAGTCCTTTGAGGACCATGAGAATAGCAGCCAACTGCAGAGAGAAAGAGGCAGGGCAGTGAGTTACAGAGCCAGGCACATCCCCCAGCACAGGTTCAGAGCCCAGGCTGGGCACTGCTCTTTATGCAGAGGGAGAAGGAAGATGCTTCAGCCCTGGTAGGAGCAGTTTCCCCTCCCACTTGCTTCTTTCTCAGGCTCACCCGTCCGAACACTCGTCCAGCTTTGCTGCGGATCAGTTCCAGACTGTCAGGATTCTTCTTCTGAGGCATCAGGCTGCTGCCAGAGCTGCAAGGAAGGTGTTTGGAGTGCAATGGTGAGTCAGATCCCCATCCATACAGACACAGGCCATGCATTGCTACTGACCCAGCCTTCCAAAAGGAACATGTGGGCCACCTTTCCTTGTACAGCTCTTTATGGTGCAGGAAAGCAGTGAACTGAGTGTCGAGCTTCTCATGTTTCCCACAGCAAAGCCTTTGGTTTTGCAACTTGTCTGGAGCAGCCACACAGTCCCACCTTCCAAAGAGGAAGGAAAAAGGAGGCTCCACCTCCACGCCCCTGCAGAGGTGGTTTCAGCAGGCCAGCCTAAAGTGATCTCAGGGAGGGAGGGCTGTGGTTGTGCCACTCTGAGAGACAAGGAGTCTGTTGGGATTGCAAACCCTGCTAGTCAAGGAAGGGCTTTGGCAGCATTCCCAGCTGAGGAGGAAGTTCTCTCTGCCAGCAGTTGCCAGGGAGGACTCGCTGGGCTGAACTCAGACTTGGATGAGTTACCAGAATGAGAAATAAGTGACCATTGCTGAGGAATATTCCCCCTGAGGCTGTCTTTGTGCCAGCCTTTTAATGCTGTGTCAGCCTTGTGCACAGAGAGACCCCAACCACTGCCCCATGCTCTCAGGTGAGGACAGCTAAGGAGAATTACATCACAGAGACCAGAAACCTACCAGTAGGTATCAGAGAGGGTCAGAAAGCCAAACTCGCTGGTGCTGTAGATGATGAGATCCTCTGCCATCTTGCTAAGGTGGATCATCAGCAGGGTGGCAACAGACAGGAATTCCACTGCAGACAAGGCAGGAAGTTAGAAGGGGGAAAAGGTGCTGGTTTGCTTGACAACCCAGGGAGCCCTGACTAGAGCTTTATTTCCTGATAGTGGATTTCAGTGCCCTTATGAAAGGAGGTTAACTGGAAAGGCCTCAGAACATACATCTAAGAGTGCTGAGAAGAAGTGATGGAGTTGTGCTTACCCACAAAGTCTCTCTCACTAACAGCATCCATGCTGTTCAGGCTGATGGAAGCAAAGTCCAGCTCTGTAAGGAAGGTGATGGACACAGGAGGTCAGGCTTGGCATGACAGGAGCTTGAATGCCCCGGGGTGCCCCAGTGTGCAGGTGACTGTGAGCCCTGGAGTGGTCCCAGGAACACAAACATCCTTAGAGGGGTCTTTGCTTTTATCCCAGACAGCCAGGGGTGATTCTGCTTATGCTCCCACCTTACAGGCACCTCCTGTCTCAATGCACTAAAAAGCCTCCTGGCTTACCAAGTCTCCTGGTATCCCACATCCTGTTCCTGAGTATCAGAGCATCCTCTTTCTTATTTATTTATTACCCTCCACCCCCATACTAAGGTGCTGCAACACATGCAAAATAACATCAGGCCAATGTGCCAATGCTTCCCCAAGTCACAGATATTCTGAGTAGTTCTGTGCCTCTCAGTAACAATGAGATATTTACCACTACACAGAAGCTCTCTATCAATTCCCAGTGGGTTGCCAGCCAGAGCACCACTGCCAGGGGAGAAAGAAACAGGAGTCATGCATGATATTCTGCACATTCCAACCAAAACTGAGCTCTAGAGGCAGTCATGACACCTCTCTGAAGATTTCCCTCCCCCAGTTCATTTTGGTGTGCTCTGAAGCTCATCAAAGTCTGGAGTAAACCAGAATTTTTCTTCCAAAGAGGAAAAGCCTTTTGGTTCTTGATTTCAAGAAGGAATAAGAGCAGTGTTTTTATGGTTAAAGTCTTCTCTTTGGTGAGAGAAGCTGGGCTTGCCCCCTCACAGCTCTCCAGTCCCTATGGTATAGAGACCCCCGTGGTCCAGGGGGATGTAGAGATCTGCCTCTTGGTCATGTCTCAGAGCAAAGTGAGGGCTGAGGGTTACACAAGAAGTAAACTTTACCTTCCCAAAGGCAGGACATTGATCCTCTTTTTTATCTCTCCCAGGCGCTCAGAGTCACGGGTCAGAGCAACAGCATGGCTGGGAAAGGACAGGAGAGATGAAACACCTGAAGCTGGAAAATGTCACAACCCAGGAGGTAAGAATGGCCAAAGGATGGGGAGCGGGGACTTGGTCACCACTGCCCAACCCCTGCTGGGTTCCCAGTTGGTCAGAGCCACACAGGAACATGGGGAGGTCCTGTCCCAGTCTGCAGGTTTCCCTCTGGTTTGTCCCCACCCCCTCAGAGGGGGATGCACTCCTGGGCTCCAGCAGAGCAGGGCCCCGAGGCTGGAGAAGGCTCCTCCAGCCAGGGCTGAAAGGTGCTGACCTGAGCAAGAACTGGCTCCATCGGATGGGCTGAGCTTTCTGCAGGTGGGTGTAGCCAGGCAGGATGACATCGATTTCTCTGCGTGGCAGAGGAGAGAAGGAGGTGAGAGCAGCTGCCAGGATGGAGGGCAGGGGCAGGGCTGTAACTCCCCCCTGCTGCTGCCCCCCTGGTGTCAGTCAAAGAACAAGCCTAAGGTCTCCTGGCCCAGCAAGGCCCTGGATTTGGAGAAGGACTTACATGGCAGCGCGTTCCACCAGGGTCTTAATGAGCTGCAGGAGGTGTGTGGAGATGATGGAGAGGGAATTCTTCATGAACAGCTTCAAGTCAGTCACAACCTGGGTGAGATTGGCCACGGTCAGACAACACAGAATGTGACACGTGGTGACTGCCCACTTTTACTGCAAAGTAAACCCCTCCTTGTCTTGGGTGATGGGAAAGGGCATCTTCTTCTCATCATTTGATCATATTTATGTGGTGATGTCACTATTTCTTGCTCTCCAGGAAGAGTTCCAAAGGCCATGCTGGTCTGAGGTCTTCTGATATGAGGAGGGGGGGAGAATACAAAGGAAAAAAAGTGATTCTGTACATACCTGATCATTCCTGCTTCTTCCAGTGTGCAACTTTCCAGCTACATCTCCAATCAGCTCCTGAGGACAAGAGGAGGATTTCTGTCAGTATCTCTGTATTTTAAGCAAGAGGCTCCATGAGCAGATCTTCCCCCTGCCTGTGAGTAGCCATGGGATGTGTTCTGGGGAAGGGCAAGTTTGGGTTCTGTGTTTGTACAGTGACACTTCCAAGGAAGGGGGCTTGGAGACACTGGATTGTGCACTTGGGGTCCAGAGGAATTTCACAGAGGGACAGAGGCACATGCCCTTAACATCAGGCAGATCCAGCTACAGAGGAAGAGGAACAAGAGGACAGAGAACCCAAACCTTTAGCCTGCGTTCGTTGGCAGTGTGGATATCCTCATCAGTTTGGATCACACCAAAGACTCCTTTGGACCATTCCTCAGAGATCTACAAACACCAGCAGAAACACCAGTCAGCTACAACAGTTACCCTGCTGGGGGGGGGGGGCTGTAAGGATCCCCAGCAAATTCTTGCCATCCGCATGAAAATTTAATCCCAAAGAGTTAAGTCTCATGTGAGCTCTGGTTTTCAGGCCAAGGCTGGCTGCTTGCTGTATCCTGATATTTTGTACTACTGGGGTTCATCTCTCTACCCATGGCAATCCTGCAGTGTTATGGCTCTAGGAGGATTTAAGCATTGCAAGGAAGAAGTGAGCCAAAACGTCATAGATTGCTTTAGCATTGTCCACAAAGGTTTTCCTATAAAACATTGTACAGACTCACCGTTGTCCGTGGTGGGTGAGGAACAACAATGGATATTTTAAAAAAAGCGCTTTGCTGCTGACTCCTCTTCCCCCCTACCCATGCTATCCATTGCCTCCTACCAGAGGGCAGCCAGACCCTAAAGGAGCCCACGTGCCAGCAGGAAAAGAATGTTCTTACTTCATACTGAAAGGATTCCTAGTGAATGTTCAGTCTGAAGAGGATGGGACACGAGGACATTTAAGGACGCTCTTTAGAACAGCAGCTCAGATGCTGTCAGGTAAGGAGCCATTCATTCCAGCACACATCACAGTTTGTGAAGGAAAGACATACCTTTTCCAGGCCACTCAGGATCTTCTCCAGCTCAGTTTTAGACAGGATTCCAGCCTTCTCCAAGGCTTTGGCATAAGCCATGCTCCCCTGAATATCAACTTCAGACAGTCTCTGATCAACAGTAATGGAAGCGCTGAGCATCTCCATGATTGGATCTGTGCTTCCAACAAACCTTCCCGCCATCATTTTATCCCCCTGCAAGTAATGAAGTTGAGAGGCGTGTTCAAAAGACTTATGGATATATCTGCTAAAAATCAGTCAGTGTCCATTCCACTCCTTATCAAACTAAAACTGAGGACAATCTCAGGAATGGAATTTTTTCAGTCTATACCATTGACCTGAAACCCCCTGGACTTTAGTGCCTTTGGCCAGCAGTTGTAGAGGTGGAGCACATGTTGCTGTCCCTAGAATTTAACCCTTGAGGTTACAGGTCTGGCTCGGGAATCCTCCAAGACATTTTACCCCTGCAGGACTCTGCAGGGAGTATGTCCTGTCTGTGATAATAAGTATCAGGCAATGGGGTGCAAGACCAGCATGGAACTCTCTTTTAAGGCAGCTGCTGATCACTGACCCTTTGAGAGTCTCCTGACAGGGAAAAAAAGTCAGGGAGATATACTGAAAGCTGGTATCTACTACTATTTGAAATACTAAAAAAAATCCCACTCATTTATGGAGACTGTAAGAAAACATTGAGCTGACAAAGAGCTGTGGGCCAGCACAAGCCACAAGCTGTCAAACACTCCTGTAACTATCAAGTGTGTGAAGTTACCGTTTGAAGCATCTCGAGAGTCCACAACGTTCTTGCAAGTTTTGGCACAAAATTGAGATAAAACCAGCAAAGGTGCAGATTGCAGAAAGGGAGGTCTGGGTGCCGTTCAGTGTTACAAATGTTAGCGTAAAGCGAAAAAAGGAAGAGAAAAAAGCCCGAAGTACCCCCGGAAGGACTCGGAAGATGCGCGGCGCCGGGCGGGCGGCCGAGCTACCATGGACAGCGGGCGGCGGCGGGACCGGGCCGGGGACCGGAGCAGCCCTTTCCCCAAATTACTGTCGAGGGAAGAGCAGGAGGGAGCCTGCGGAGCCAGGGTGCAGGCTCGGGGTGCTGGAGCTCTGGGTGTGGAGCAGGTTTGTCAGCAGAAGCTGCTGGGAAAGGGGGGGGGAGGGAAATGGGAGTTGAAAAAGCCAAAGTTGTGCAGCTCCTCGCTGGGAATCCCATGCCCGGGGGTGATGGGAGAGGGGACCGGGAGGGAAAAGGGAGTGATGGGAGGTAAGGGCTGGGATGGGCAAGACGTGTCCAGGTACATCTTTGCTGCTGTGGGCTATGCCCAGCATCAGAGGTGGGGCGTTGGGCTATTGCAGCAAAGATATTTATTGTCCCCTTCTCCATTTAAAACCCGGGAAAACGAATCATAGAATCATTAAGGTTGTGAAAGATCTCCAAGATCACCGAGTCCAACCGTTAACCTAATACTGCCGGGTTCACCACTAACCCGTGTCCCTGAGGATCACAACTACACGTTTTTTGAACCCTCCCAGGGATGCTGCTTCCACCACACCCCCGGGAAGCCTTTTCCAAACGAAATAGGGAAAGACTCGAAGCTCACGAACGCCAGAGCACCCGGAGACCACCCCGCCGGGAAAGCAAAGGTCCCCCTCACCTCGGCTGCCATTTCGGACGACGTTTTGCTCGTTTGTGCGGCGATCCTGGCAACTGGTGCAACCTGCGGGACAGCGCGGGTGATGCTCAGCCCTGCCCCGGGCCGTGCCCCGAGCCCCGCCGCGGTCCCGCTGCCCTCCCGGCCCCTCCGGGCCCCGCTCACCTGCTCGTCCCGCAGCCCCGGCCACTCGCTCGCTGCTCCCCGGCCCCGCCGCCCCGCTTTTACACGCCTCGGTGCGGGGCAGGCGGCTCGTCCCGCCCCGCCGGGGCGGGGTGTCCCCGGGGCCGGCCCCGCTCCGGTCCCCCCCGCAGCCCCCTGCTCCCTTCACACCCCTCCGCTGCCTCCGGCCCCGGCTCGCCCAGCGCATGGTCGGGGAGAGAAGTTTCTTCTGGGGAGAGGTTTGCTGCGAGGAGGAGGGTTGAGAGGGATGCTCCCGTGTTGCTTCTTAGAGAAGTTCCCGGCGGTGCTCCCGCACTGCCTGAGGGTCTCGTGTGTGGACAGGGCAGCTCCTTCCCTGGGAAATATCCTTGTACTGAAGGAGCCACATCACTCGGTGTCACGCCCCTTAATGAGCAGTCTTTGATATGAACGTAATTGATAAAGTGCTCTGTCCCCATTGCCACCCCGGCGAACACACCGGAATAAAACAGATGGGAGCCGGTTCCCCTTTCCCATTCCTGCGGGGATGAGACTTTTCTCCCCACTCGTAGGGACGCTGCAGCCCCACCTTTGGGGCTTCCCTGCTGCCACCGGTTTCATGGGGTCACTTGTCAAGAGGCTCCTGTGAGCTGTGGCTGTGGGGTGCGAGGTTGTGCTTTTGGCAATAGCCCGCGTCTTAAACTCATCACACTCTAAACATCGTGGAAATAAACAACTGATTGAAAATACAAGAGAGCTTTGGGAGCAGCAAAGCTTCAGCTCAGCACCACTTTCTCATTAACTCCTCAGACAGAGAATTTTCTGCAGCCATTTCCCAGAAAGCTGAATATTTGCTGCTTTGTCTTACTGAGTGAGCCTCTGCAGTGTAATATTTTCCCACCTGCATTGTCCAAACCCTTCACAGCGCTCAGGAAACATATTCCAGCTTTCTCATCCACATTTTGTCGTGTTATTTTTTTCCCCCGTAGCTGATCCTCTTTTTCTTTTTTACTGTTCTCTCAGTTCTACAACATTATCTCTTTTTTCTTCTAGGACACTTACACCAGGAAGCAGTGCTTGATCCTTTTGCAGTCATGTTCTTTCCTACTGTGAAATCCCTAATTTTTACCACTTTTCTTGTCTTCTTCACCCTTTAGAAGCGTCCTTTTCCTTACTCTGGGCTTTGACAGGAGATTGCTGATGTGTTGGGGAACCAGCAATCAGTGAGTTTATAACCAGAGTGAATCTATGTCAGTAAGATCTTATTAATCTGTGTCTGATATTACATGTGGCAGGGACATGTGCTTCCACATGGGATCTGTCAGCAGTGTCACTGTGTGTTTAGCAAACTTCACAGGGATTAGTTGGCTTGTAGTATGCTGCTCAACTCCCGTCCCAGTTCGTATCTAGGAAATTATTAATTCTCTTTCCTATTTTTAGATGAAATAAACAATAACTACCTTTTCTGTATAATAATGTAGAATATAGTCTAATATTTTTGTAATAAAAATGGAAGTGAAACTGTAAATACAAAAATGAACATTGAAGAAATATGATTTCTTAAAGATGCTGGAGCTGGAGAGTTGGACTTTTTTTGAGGGGAAAATGGTAAAATAGCATTACAAAATAGGTTTTCTAATGCACACTGAAGTGCATTCTCATCTCTGTCTTCTCTGTTTGTTCTGGTTTGGATGGCTCTCCACTTCCCATCATCTTCTTTCAGTATTTTATTTGCTTTGTGAAATGGAAAGATTAACCCCCAAAATCTTCACACCACAATTAATATCACGGAAGGTCTGAGGGAAAGGTCTTCCACTTATTTTCCTTTCTGGCACAGTGGATGGCAAATCATTCATTAAGGTACAATGAGGTAGTGCTAGAGAGTAAATTGCCCATTTTGCAGCATGGAGAAGTTTAATTAAATATATTTTAGTGTACTCAAAGATCCGAACTTTATTTTTACTTACTTTTTTAATCTGTCACAGCCTTACTCTTTCCTTTTGTTTTGTTGGAAGAGTGCAATGCTCCAAAGGAGCTTTAGTGGTTCTAGAAATACACTTTTCACAATAGGACTGGTTTTCATAACTGAGTCCAGCGAAGAAAAAGGACGGCTTCTTTAAAACCATCCTTTTTTAACCGTCATTTTGGTTTAGAAAAAGAAAATAGCTCCATGGGCTGAAAGTGCTGGTCAAACGCACTGTCAGCTCGGCTGATGTGAAGCCGTGCTGACATTTTTTGTTAAAAAACCCCCCAACTTTGTTTAATGAATTTTGAATGTAAAAGGAAAAAAAAAAGACACTATAGGGTGATCAGCGAAATGCTGAATACAGTAAACATCTTTCATGACAAAGAATACAAATACCCTGCAGATCTGCTTTCAATAGCAAGTCCTAGGCCCCCTGCTTTCAATAGTTAATACCGAGGCCCCTCTCTCCCCAAGCCTTAGTGGTAACAATCACAAGCCAATGCTTAAAATGTTGACATGCTAAGCACATTTAGAAAAACCTATGTCTGCATTCCCTATGGATGGTGTAGCATAACTGTCTAACACCTAAAGAGCAGCAATTAAAACCAGTGAACTGGCCTAATCACCTCACCTCCTGAACAGTTGTGAGGGTAATGAGCTCTCTTAGATATTCCCCTTCTCATGATGTCAGTGGACCTGTAGCTGACCTGCACATGCATTTACACCCTAACAGGCTATATGTGTCCATTGGAAAATATTTAGGAATAATATCTCTATTAGAAAAAGAATTGAGAGCTGTTGAGAGAGGCATTTGTATTATGCCCATTCATTCCCAGCTGCATCATCATCACGGATTGTAAAAAGCATCATAGCTTGAAAAAGTGTATCAGCAAAGGTCTTGGGGGAAACTTTTGGATAAACAGTGGAAATAAAGATGATAAGTTGGTGCTGGGGGAGAGATATAAAGAGTTGCAAAGGAGAAATGAAATCAATATGCTGAAGATTCTGAACCCTTATCTGAAGAGAGTGATGAGAGGCAGGCAAGGATTAGTAGATTTGTGGAACAAAACTCTGAAATACCATGTTTGCACTGTAAGCTGACATGCTTTCTCTTCTTTCCTTCCCCCTAGCCTGGTTGGGAGCTGGTGTACAGGCAGTTTCATGTGCAGGGTTGGAAACATGGCAGAGAAGTTACAGAGCATTCCCTGTGCCAGTTTTGGCCAACTTACAAGGCCAGTTAATCCTGACATGAAAAAGGGCAGCATCCATTGCATCCTGTGCACTGAGTCAGACCAACAGCTCTCAGTCTGCTTTTGGAGACCTTTCTCCTGGCTTTTTTTTCCACAGGACTCCACAATAAGTGATTCTGGAGGATAAATGAATTTCTATCTGTACTACAATCCGTGTGTGATGGGCTTTACTTGTCCATTGAAACTTTTTGGCAGGGGTTTCAGCTGAAAAGAGCTGAAAAACCTTTGCAGGTGGCTTTTAAACTTTGCCCAGCACTTCTATAGCTGATGATGAAGGTTCCTGGAGAGCTGGGAGCTGCCAGGGCTGTCCTGGCACTGAGGACTGTTCCTGAAGCACTGCAGTTTGCCCATATTATTCAGAATTGATTTAGGATTTACAAAACCCCAAGGAGAAGAAAAGTCCTAAAAGTGGGAGTGGTTTGATTCTGGAGAGAAAAGCAGCTGGTGGATTTTGTGCTGGCATTGCAAGACAGACGTTGGGAGCACAGGTCAAACCCATTTGGTTCCCTAAATGGCTCTTAAATCCCTGCTGCAAAAAAACCACGTGTATCTGTATGTGACTCCTTAGGGAGTTAGTGGTGTATCTGGATATAAACTTTTGCCTGAGAGATAATGTCAGAATTAAGGAATTAATGTTTTGCAGACTCTCAGTCTCTGAGCCAGACAATTTTCCCGGCTGTTGCCTATGGGATTTTGAGCTATTTGCACTCAGTGAAGTGTCTTCAGGTTTACTGAGAGTGAAAAGGGTTCTTGCAACATTTAATAGCACATAGATCAAATGGGAAAGCATCACGGTGACGGCTGGAAAAGACACCCAGCACGGCTGGAAAAGACA